TAGAATACTGCAGCTATTTTCGTAATAAAATTTCGTGAATAGAATATATTTCTCCACACAATGATATTTCGAATTCATAGATGTCTTAATGAGATCCTGCATTAACAAATTCTGAATACATCCAACCACTTGTCTTTGGTTTATTCTTCTTCCAGGAAAAATTATACATACAAAGAAAAACCTCACCAGAATACTAAACTAACAGGTAAATCCATCAACGGGATGGCTTTGAAAACAATAGTTCACCACAAAAACAATAGAAGACTTAAGCCCAGTTCATGGCAATCTACGATTTTTTATTTCGTTTCAGCGTTAAATTACATTTTGTACGTTTGTATTTCACGGTTTTTAGATAGGGATGTGAATGAATACGAGGTTCTTCATTGTGTGCGAAAACTTAAGTAATGTTATCGAACGTTTGTAATTTTTTTACTTAATAGCTTGTTTTTATTTTTTTAATGAGGATGGGGTATAATAGACTGTTAGCAGAATAATTAGGATAAGATGTCTGATTAAGTTTTTATAATAATTTTTCGTTGCGACATTTATTTATTTTTGTTTACGAAATTTATTCATTTCATGTTGAAGGTTTTTGTCGGAGGAAAAACGTAAAAATCATCAGTATTGCTAAAAAATGGATATATAAAATATAGAAATTAAAAATAAAACCAAAAAAACCGCCAAAAAAATGTATGGAAGGAAAGGATATGGAATGGAAGGGAAACGATAAGAAAGGAGCTGATATGGAAGATATAGTGAGAATGATTAAATATCCCTAATACCGTATGATCGAATAAAAACGGCATCAGCGGTGGCTATGAAATGAACATCGATGACATTTCCCATATAAATTTACATATAAAATGACAGCGATCTTCATTTCATACCCATCGCTGACGACGTTTTTTTTTTCGATCATACAGTATTAAATGTCATTTCATGCCAAAATTTCCCAGCAAATATTTCTTAACCATTTGTCTTTTATGACACATTTTCGTGACAAAAAACAAATCGTAGATGCGTTAATCAAACATTATTCTCATAATTAAACGTGTTTAAATTAATATAAAAAGATTATTAATTAATTGGCTACGCCCGATGAGATAACCATACGTGATTTTTTTAATGGACGATATAAACTTTCATTGGAAAGTGACTATTTTAGTAAAATGCATAGATTTTATAAAGAAATTTGCACTACGCATATATTTTGTAATTCATAATTAACAAGGCTACGTGAAAAGTATTTGATGGTCTAATTGTTTAAGCAAATAAAGGGACTAGCTTTCCAAAGAATAAGTTTTCTGCGTGTATAAAGAAAAATTGCAAAATAGAGAACTAACGAAAGTAGTAATTATTTGATTACAAAATAGATTAAACAAAAACTAATTTAATTATTACTCTACTTAGTTTGATTTGACATGGTATTTATTAGTTCTAGTTTTTGTATACAAGTAACAGATGAAGTCGATTAGTTTATATCTTTGAATAAGAGTAATTTTATCCAAAGGTTTATCTAGTGTACGGGACATAGAAAATCCCATGTAAATTTTGAAAAGGTTAAATATTATCTCCTCAGATAATTTTATGCAAAAGTTGTATTAGACTTTCTTGAAGAGGCGTTAAAGTTGTATTTTTGTCTATTATTTCGTTTCATTTGGAATAGTCATTTAGAGGTTATTTGCAAATATCTACCTTCAAATTACTAAAATGTATAATACGACCCAGAGAATTTTGGTATAAAATAATTAAGATTTTTGCAACTTCTGAAATAGTAACGATGGGTAAACAGCATTTGGCTGGAAATAGGTAGTATTCCCGCTATGTTATATTTGTTCGCAGGTCAGTCTCCGGAAAGCCTATACCTGTGCCTATACCGAATAAATCAACAGTTTAAAGAATAAACTAGGCAGAGGTTTGAAACTAAAAGCACGGTTTAAGCACATGGAAGTGTAAAGATAAAAATAATTGAACATGAAGAAAACAACAATAACTTGAATATACGTCATGTTGAAGAAAAGAAAAACATTGACTTCCGTCTATTGGAGTTACAGTAGGAAAAGACCACAGGATTTTTCGGCTTCTTCCTATGGAAAACACTACTACACTAAATACAGAAATTTAGATGGACTGAAAACGATAACTCTGTGGAAGCTAAAGATTCTCCCCTTAACAGCTTTGTATTGTGAGGCGTGCATTTAACAATCATTTGGGGTGTTGTTTGGCTGTGAATGGGGGATGTAAATATTTTATTAATCAGTATACACACACCGGAAAAGTCTAGGGATATTACAATTTTATCCAGCCATCATCAGTAATTTTATTATTTGCATTTCTGAAATAATAAAATTAAAATAAACAAATAGTTTACAGGACGTATTGGAAATAAAAATGCGAAATTTACCGGATTTTTCAAATTTACCTTGATTTTTATTGAACTCAAAAAAATACACACATTTTTTTTTATTCTAAACTGTGAATTAAAAAAAAAGATAAAACCATTTTTACTTAATAAAGGGTATGACCTCCTCTACTGTTCATTACAGCCCTACATCGTCTCTCCATGCTCCTGATCAGGTTGTCGATCTCTTCTTGAGGTACAGCCTGCCACGCTGCATTCGCGGCCCGAACCAGATCCCTACGAGTTTCACGAGGCATACCCATTCTCAAAATTCTTCTTTGGATCGCGTCCCATACGTGCTCGATGGGGTTGAGGTCAGGAAATTGTGCCGGCCAGGGTAAGATGTTTAATTGATGAGCATTGATAAACTCACTTACCACTCTGGCTGTATGAAGCCGTGCATTGTCATGCATGAGAATAAATTTCTCCCAAAATCATTGGCATATGGTAACACGACAGGCTCAAGAATTAAATCACGATATGTGATTCCTGTTAGAAACCTTTCAAGAAAAACGAGATCGGTTTTTCGGCCTAACTGGACTCCTCCCCAGACCATAACTGTTCCACCTTGATAAGGGTGCACTTCCTGAACATGATCCAACCGAATAAGATTTGCCGGTTCTCTCCATACCCTAAGCCTTCTCCAATCCGGATGAATTCCAAAGCGTGACTCATCCGTGAAGAGAACATTGGCCCATTGTTCATTCGACCACTGAACATGATTTTGAGCCCACAAATATCGTACCTCTCGATTTCCTCTCGTTAAGGGTTGAGCTCTCCAGGGGCGTCTGCTTCTTAAGTTGACCTCTCTTAATCTATTGCGAACAGTGTCAGGACTAACGGTTACATTATGTGTTTCCTGGAGAATTAAACTAAGCTCTGGTGCTGTAAGAGTCGGTCGGCGTCGAGCATTTAATTGTAAAAAATTATCTTGCTGAGGGGTAGTAATGCGATGTCGCCCTGTGTGCCTTTCAGCAACATCACCACTTTCGCGATAGCGTGCACTTAATCGCGATATTACACTTTGCGTTGCATTTAATGCTCTAGCTACGTCGATTTGGCGCATTCCAGCTTCGAGCATACCCATGGCCCTTAGCATTTCGTCTCTGTTAAGATGTCTACGCTCCATAATGTCGTTTAATACTAAACAGAGTTATTTGAATGAATTCTGGCCAGTTATCATAAAAATATAGCCAGTACAGGTTAAATTCGAACAATTGACGCTAGGTGCTTTTTATACATTTGACAAAAAATGCACAAACACTTCTGCAAATATCCCAAATTTAGAAATAACTAGTGTGACTACTACTTCGTTTCAATCGAAGTAGAAAGAATCGGCCTACAAATATGTGGTTGTTTATACAAAACATTTATTTTTAACTTTAATAAAATGATATCCCTAGATTTTTCCGGTTTGTGTAGTTTAATAAAGTTCCTTTAGTTACAAATATTTCTTTTATTTGTTTAATTATTTTGGATGTATGTGAGATCTGGGAGTTAATCGTTTCGGAGATGTTTAATTATTTTGGATGTAAGTGAGTATGCGAGATCTGGGAGTTAATCGGGTAAAACCGAGGATAAAACACAGCAATTAAGTCAAACTCCGCGAATACAGTTCAACTAATTCTCAATCCAGTTAATTTTTTTTTTGTTTAAGTGTGATAAACCTTAATCAAATTTACCTTTATTTCAATCGTAGAATCCAAAAATAGAATAATATACAGGGTGTTCCATTTAAAAAAATACAACTATAATATTTTTTACTTATTTGGTACACTCTGTATCTTGTAAAACTATTTTTAAATTATAGGTCTAATAGTCCTTCAACGAACCCAAAACTTACAATTTATAAAAATCTAATCGTTTAGCTACAATATTCCGTGTCGTATGTGGTGAACAACCCTGTATATACCATATAAAATAAAATAATTGAGAGATCGGGCTACGGAAAATCACACAAATTTTCGGAAAAATTTTGACACCTGCACACGCACACAATCGTCAATTAAAAAAACTACTATTTTAAATATTTTAATAAACGCAAAAATAGCACAGTATTTATAAGGTGAAGTTATAAAAATTTGGAAGAACTAATAATGCAGTGACGCACACAAAAATCAAACGAATACTAAATTCTAAATTTCATTTATCAAAAGCATTCGATAGTCGTGGCTCAACGATAACCATTTAGTCGCACGGCGAGGTTGTCACATATGCTTTAGTATACAAATGAATGAATGATGTTATTCGAATAAAACCATTCGATAGTTGAAATCATTCATTCAGTAACCATTCGATAGTCTAATTCATTCGATAGTTCCCATCGCTAGTTCTGATGCACCACACGCCACACGGTATAATACAGTGGCGGCACTAACAAATAAATACCATTTTTTTTTTTGTTTTTGAAATGTTATGAGCAATCTCAAAAGTCTCCAAAATAAATTGAAATAATTTTGTTTAACATTTGTACCCGCTTAACAAGCCAATATCAACTTTTTGCCAATACGTGTAATTGACTTGCTTACAGAATTACCCCCGTATCATCCGCGCTGTTGGTACGCTACCATGACCACTTTCATAGCCAGAAGGCCAGGAAACCGCGCCGCAAGAATCACCTTTTGAGAAAAAGAAGCGCTCCATCGAGTTGTGCTTCAGTTTTCAGTGAAACGCCGAGCCGGGAAGCTAACTGTGAAGCTAACTAAAGTGAACTATACTTACGGGGTGCGCTCGAAAAATAGACAGTCGTCAGTATGGGGAGGAAATGCAGTGGAATCGTTCTGCTGGTCAGTTTATGTAAGTTGGTTTTTTACTATTGTAAATTTAAAAGGGAGAGTCAGATATTAGTTGAAATAAAAATCTCTGAATGGAGAAAATGAAAGATAAAGTTTTTAATGTTAATTAATTAAAATATAACAAGCTGGAGAAGAAAACTCGACACAATGCTTTATTATATTTTAAATTGTACAATTGCAAACTAAAGTCACATAAAATATAAGTTTGGTCGTTTTTAAGAATGTTTGTTTATACTTTTTTGGACTTGAACCATGTTATCTCATCATATTTGAAATTTTAGATATAAATCGGTTCATCGGTACATTCTCCTTCGTCATTAAGGGATTTGTTGACTTCACGTTGTCTATTAATAGTGTTTCTTTGATTTTTATAAAAATTATGGTATACAGGCGGGATAAAGGGAAGAATATCTTTCATGTGTTGTCTTTTAGAGTGTGTTGTTAAGTTACGTCTATATGAAATGATAAGATTTTTCTTCCTGGTTCAGTTTTATTCATATCAACAACATGTCAGATATTTAAGTATTGGTAAGAAAAACAGCTTAACTTATTGGTGTAGTAATAGTGAAAATAATAATAAATCAAATTATACTTTCAGAATCGATAGAATCAGGCCTTTCAGATGGCTGATAATCTGATTCACTTGGTGCAAATAGTTCATACTTTGTTTCATTGTCATCCATTTTATCAAAAAGAGCACACACAGCATTATTTTATGGACTTGATCCAGTTCACTTTTGAAAGGAATCAACAGAATATTCAGAAATCAAACAGCATAACTGACTAACTAACATAAACCACTCCATATACAGCTTTGCTTAAACCCAATGAAGTTGATACCTTCTCAGCAAATTCTTCTTTCATTTACACCTTGTGTTTTTTGCTGTTCTGTCATTTGATGTCATTTTGTTTATGCTTGTTTTCTAACGTAGTCCCAACTTTGATCAGGGAATCTTCTTCGTCGTTTTATTCTTCTCAAGTTTCTGATTACCTTTTGTCGTATTTTCATTTACGCCTCTTGCGTATCACTATGTAATTCTAAGTGGTCCATTTTCAGTCAGTATTTTTTGCTGCATGACCTATTCATTGCATTTTGAAGGGTTTAATTCTGTAGAATGCCCTTGTTACCTCTGTCTTTTGTCATATACACTCGATCTTCTTGTGACCCATTAAGAGTCTATTACGCTGTACTTTTGGTTTGGAAGGGGTCGGGTAAGGCGGGTGTGTGGGCGAAGGAAATATATATTATATATCACAAATCTGCCTAGGGCTTAGCCCGATCCTGTCGTGTTAAGTTACACCCAAAATTCCAAACACGCGTGCTTTGATTAAGGCTTGATTAAGGATTGCAGAGCTTTAGCATTTGCCATAAAATAGCGAGCAATTTGTTACAAAACCATATAAATTATATAGCACTGTACTCACAAAACTTCAATCTATTTTCGTATTGTAACGAAATTTTAAATAATGTCTTTATTTCCAAGAAAATTTAGTCCCAACATAAAGAATATTTTGTGGATGTTTGACCATCAAAATCTTAAAAATAAAGAAGTTGTCTAAAAATGTGCTACAATACGGATCTAGTATAATCCTATCTTTAATTTCCTTCTTTATTTGTGTAAAAATATCTAGCCAGTTTTACATAAAACGTTAAATGCCGAACGCTTATTTTGCTACTTTTTCGGACTAGTGAAATAAATGTATTCTTGGAAAAGACCAACTGGCAGTAAGTGCCATTAAAAAATAAAGAAGAGCGGCTAGGTAAATGTTCTCTAGGCCTTGACCTCGCCAAAATTATCATTGACTGTCAATAAGTTGTCAATGATTACAAATAATTTTTTCTGTTATTCAGAGCGGAGATGAATCCAACAAATCAGTGATCAATTATATCAGTACCCCGACTTTGTCTTATTTGTTATATTCATGATTCTCTACACTTTCAAATACAATTTTTTTAATAGATATCTTAGTAATAAAAATAAACATATATGATGCGATTCGTCACCAAGAAAAAGTAATAAAATTAGTAATCATCATCGAACTGAAGAATATTTATTGTGGTTTTCGCGATTTGGAAAGTGGTATGTGTGAGAAAAAACGTCAAACAACACGGCACGGATTGTATAAGAATATATTAACATATATTTGTGCGAGACTTGTTGCATAAGGAATGATGAAAAAGCAAATGAAAATGAATGATATGAGTGGGTACTTATTCTATGAATACCTAGTTTTGTTTTAAAGAAAATAAAAGTTTATTAAGAATGTTGTGTGGTATGTGAAAAATTAAAGCTCAATATTTTTTCTTATAGTGGGCCGATTTTGATGATTTTTTAAGCAATTTGTAGTTAAATGATTAGACTTTTTTAAAATTTTAAATAAAAATCCCTGTCTTTCTATATTATACGAGAAAAAACAAAAAAAAATATTATTATTTTAACACACACTAAACCAATGAACACTGAACAACAAACAAAAAATGTAATATACAAAATACCATGTGAATGTAATACAGTTTATATTGGTCAAACATCTAGACCCATAAATGTTCGAATTAAAGAATATAAAGATTATTTACGAAAGGGCGACTTTCACAAATCTAAGATTTGTGAGCATTCCTGGGACACAGGGCAGAGAGTAGATTTTAACGACGCAAAAATCGTAATGAAAGAAGCGATAGTCTCTAAAATAAAAATAAAAGAGGCTTTTTTAATACAATCCAATAAAATAAATGTATTGCTCGTGCATCTGTAGATGTTAGTAATGTATGTCAATCGTTTCTTTGATTTTAAAGAACATAACATAAATAAACACAGCATACGTGAAAATTAAATCAAATTAAATATCTTTGGAGACTTTTTTGGAGATATCCCTAAAACTATTTGCACGTATTTCAGACCCACCCTTTATTTTCACACGTTTTAAATAAAATGAGAACCGCACTGATGAATCGGGGTTTACGTCGGCCATATTAATCACCCCTCGCGTTCTCCTTAATCTTTTTATTCTTGAAATTTACCTTGAATCTATTCGAGACGTCAAATTCTTCATTACACACTGCCAAATAAATTAACTAACTAATTTAGCAAAGAAATTGCCGGAGGTGTAAAACAGCTATAAAATAAATAGTTTTTAAGCTCACCCGGTGTAAAAATGTTGATTGTTTAGGAAGAAACGAGATACTACCGAGAATAATTTAGTTGCTTTTAATTACAACCGTACATTCCGCAGAAGTCGTTTGTTAATTCAAGTAACGTCGTTCTTTTTTTCTAACTGTTATTCATTCTTAAAAGACAAAGTTCACCGGTGGTTAAGTAACAGGCCTGAAGCTTAAAACGAATTATTCTGTTTGAAGAAAGTATTATCCTTATATCCTGCATTAGGTTTTCTTTTAAATTGTTATAACATAAGATTAACTGCAATAGTTTTGCAAAGCTGGTTAAATACCTCGAGTTTCCTACGAGCACAGCATATCTAGCTACGCAACAGAAGCCTCGTTACATGTATAAAATTGTAGCAAAAGGAGACAGGCTTTTAAAGCCTGTCTCCAAATCAGATATTTTGATGCGGTAGTTTCGCTACTCCATAATAGAGGGCAATAAATTTAAAAGAAAACAGTTTTCTACAAACAAAATTTAAAAGAATTTTGTGCAGTGTTGCCATTGTGTAATTCATATCGTAATACTTTCTGATAAAGCCTACCTTCAAATTTGCTACATCATTTAAACATATTAAAATAGATCAGAGCTGTTTTTTTCAATTTGCAATGTTAGTTGGAATTAAATCTTATGAGCTAAATTACAATCACTTCCTGACGTTTGATTGTATAATTGAATCCTGAATTTTCATTGTAATTCGGCGACAATATAATAAGTATTGTTCTACTATTATGATACCAAGTTCATATCGTATAATCAGGAAAAAACGGCGTTAGCGATGGCTATGAAATGAATATCGCTGTCATTTTATATATAAATTTATATGGGAAATGTTATCGATCGTCCTTTTCCAGCCAACTAGACGCCGTTTTTTTCGGTATCATACGGTATTTGATATGTACTATTTTTCATGACGTTACAATATTATGGTACCATGAAGCATATCAAGTGATACCATAATATAGTACCATATTACGATACATGGCGTTCGATTGGGCTTAAACTTGATATACTATATCTTCAGTGACATTGTAATATCATGGTACCATGGAGCATATAAAGTGGTACCTTCTATAGTACCATATTTGATGACATAGCAATATTAGGTACATGGCGGCAATAGGGCTTAAACTTGGTATGCTACGTATTTTCGGTGACATTGTAATATGATGGTACTATGATGCATATAAAGTGGTACCTTAAAATAGTACCATATTTCAATACCATTTCCTGACGTTCGATTGAGCTCATATTTGATATATACTTGCGTATTTTTGATGACATTGCATTATTATTGTACCATGAAGCATATTAACTGGTACCATAATATAGTACCATATTATGTACATGGCGTTCGATTGGGCTTAAATTTAAGATACTACGTATCTTCGGTGATATTGTAATATTATGGTACCATGGAGCATAATAAGAGGTACCATATTACGATACCATTTCCTGGCGTTCGATTGGGCTTAAACTTGGTATACTACGTATCTTCGGTTACATTGTAATATTATTGTACTATGATGTATATAAAATGGTACCGTAATATAGTACCATATTACGATACCATTTCATGGCGTTCGATTGTTTTTAAATTTGGTATACTACGGATCTTCGGTGACATTGCAATATTATGGTACCTTAAAGCATATCAAGTGGTACCATAATATAGTACACTATTATGATATCATTTCCTGGAGTTCGATTGGGCCCAAATTTGGTATACTTGCGTTTCTTTATAAAGATTTGTTTAATTAATAATTTTAATTTATTTTACGAATTTTAATTTATTGTTCGATGTCGTGACAGCAACTTTTATGCCGAACTAATATATTATTAA